CGCAGAGGGTAATGAAGACGCCGAATCCTTTATCCTTTATTTTTTATAAGCAAAAATGAAGCCACTCTTAAGCTAGAACATGCACAGCCACGAAAATGTTCACAATTGTTGCTAGAGGTTCACTCATTCAGCTCAACAGAGAAGAAATGGGCTTCGAAGAAATTTCGAGCTTTGAAGTTCTTACGAAGTTGAGGGAGTCGCTGTACGCAAAGCTGCTTGCTTGGAGACAGTCGCCTATGATTGAGGTGTCGAAATCTCAGAATCCGCCAAAGCTTTGCATGTTGCGGTTATCTAATTTGCCGAATACAAATATCATATTCATTCGTCTATTTAACACATCCTTCCTTGTCTAGGGTGAGACCCTATACTCAATCTTACTGTAATCTCACGAAAAAGCCCCTACCATGCGAAATAAATACCGTTTCTGTGATGAGTATACTAGATAACCCCCTATGCGAAGTTTCAGCCAAATTCGTTATGATCTATTGGGTTCAAAAGTTCTATCTGTTTTTGAACTTCGAGTTTGAATCACCATAACTGGTTTCAGAATTAATCTATGTGATTGCAGTTAATTGTGTTACAATCTACAAATCTTTGGCTATTCTACGCACACTTAAGATCCATTACAGTAATGGAAAAGATTTTATAGGCAAAATTTGAGAAACATGTCCTCGTACAAACCTCCACTTTGCGAGACCATAATTTGCTTATAACGTAGTAAAATTGCAAAAGTACTGCTCATTGTGTAGCCAATATTGAGCTGAGCAGAAGCGCTAACTTTGAACCTTGCCAAATTTTTCAAAAATTTTCCGCAGAAGAATCCGTAATGACCCACTAAATTGCTTTTTTGAGGTGGTAAGAATGCAAATTCTTGGCATTTTTGTTTATGTTCGCCCTGACAATTCAGGCAATCTTCTCGCTTTCCTGGTAAATAGTGATTGTTTCAAGTCTAATCTTACTATATAGAGCAAAAATTCCGCAATTGCATTGTTTTTACGTTTTTCAAGCGGCTCAAAGGACCACAACGACGGATCATGTTCATGCTAAGATTTTATAGGTTTAAAATCTTTCT